TCCTGCTGGGTGTGGCCAACTTGGGAGCCAGCCGGAACTCCGTTCCTGTGCGTTCCTGCCCAAAAATAGCCCTGAATCAGGCTATACCACGCTGCCTTCCCTCCCATTTGACACAACAGCCAATCCAAATCAATTGGTTTATCCTTGCAGTTCATCAACGACGTCAACCGAATAATGTAGGCAACAGCCAGGGAATCACAGCTTTTCAGTTGGATACACTTGAATCTAGATTAGAATGTCACAACATACCAAAATAAACCTTAGAATAAAAGATTTCACTGGAAAAAACACAACCGCGCTAGGAAAAGTTGAAGGCAGTAGGAAAAGAGGAAGACCCGGCCTGAGATGGATGGACGCAATCAAGGAACCCACGAGGGCCCTCAGTTTGCAAGACCCGCGCAAGGCTGTTAATGAGAGGATGTTTTGGAGGCCATTCATCCATAGAGTCGCCATGTCGGAAGCAACTTGACAGCGCGTAACACCACACTATATCCCTTATCTCTCAAAACCTCGCCATTCTCAAAGTTCTCAACGTTTTTAGTGAAATGGTATCCAGAGATCTCTCCTTCTCCAAAAAGCAGGGGGGTATCAGAGAGAGACGGCGAGCTGATTATCATTTTCAAGAACACTTTGAGGGTACAAAGTACATTACAATTCCTACACCATTCACTCTCAGAAAGATAACACACATGAGGAGAGGGATACGTTTGGAATAGACTCTGATTTTAGACACAGAGTGTGGCATATTGACTGTGAGAAAGCTGCTACTAAGTTCGGAGGATGAAATCTGTTCAAAGTCTACATCTGCCTTGAATTCAATGGGAGAGACCTTTGGCGAGCCCTGCTCAGTCTTAGCCTCAGCATAATCCTAGTGAAGTTTATAGGACTCCGGGAAGGGATTAAGCACAATGTATAGGGAGCAGTGCAAGGAAGCACAAATTGCCTTGGTGGATCAAGAACAAAGTTAATAGAAGAAGCAGAAGAACCAGCAGAAGCAGAAGAAGAGGAGGAGGAGGAGGAGATTGGATTTATACCCCGCCCTTCATTTGGAGTCTCAGAGCGGCTTACAAACTCCTTTCCCTTCCCCTCCCCACCACAACAGACACCCTGTGCGGTAGGTGGGGCTGAGAGAGCTCTTTCAAGAACTGCCCTTGATAGAACAGCTCTGACAGAACTATGGCTTGCCCAAGGTCATCCAGCAGCTGCAAGTGGAGGCGTGGGGAATCAAACCCGGTTCTCCCAGATTAGAGTCCGCGCACTTAACCACTACACAAAACTGGCTCTAAGAAGCTGCATTCTCTTCCTAACCGTGGCTGGACAAATATTTCTGGAATCTCCGAAGTCATGTGTATGGTATGGTCTCCTCCTTCACGTTCCCAACATCTGCGTATGGTGGAGCCATTTAATTATGGGGGATAATTGCGGCCACTCCTGGCCTTCCAGAGTTGCACAGCCCTGATTTGGATCGGGACCACGGCACACAGGAAGAGTGTTCACATGCCTCCCCATGCTCCCTTTTCCTGACCTGTAATGGTCCCAAGGGATGCTGTTTTCCACACTGAAGGCTCCACATGTATTGATGGGGTACATGTAGGCAATGCTCCCTCTAAACTATGAGCAAAAAACTACTTTGTGAGCTACTGGCATTAAAGCTGTGAGCGAGCAATTTGGCTACTGCATGAATCAGTTTGCTCGGACTGGAGCCATCCTTCCTGAGCTAAGACAAAAATGTGTGAGCCAGAGGCTAAAAAAACATGAGCTGGCTCACACTAACTCAGCTGGAAGGGAACACTGCATGTAGGCTTCCCCAAAAGCCACTATAAATGACCCAATCCAAGTGCTGTACAAAACATAAGTTATTATTCAAACAAACATCTTTCTACATAGTTTTCTTCATACAAAAGCCTTACAAGGAGAGACAGGAAGTGGATCACCAAAGCAACATAGGTTTAAGAACACTATATATACAGTCCAATATCTTGCGCCTAGGCACACAAGTCCAACAGTTTAAATCCCACATTGGCTGACAGGAGGCACAGCTGTATGAATGTCATTCTGTTCTGACAGGGCGTGTCGACCTTCTTTTTCCACGTTTCCCAAAAGAGCTTTGTCCAAGAAGCGACTGTGACCAGTCTGTGGTGACACCTTTTCCTTCAGCCTTGAAATCAGTAGCCTGAAGCCTACAATTTTCTTGGAAACTTGGCCTTTTATTAGGCAACGTTGCCTTGGTGTTCCACTTCCTGAGACTGTGGCCGATTTCACACAAGAGCCGCCATGCGGTCGTGCCTCCCTTTGCCCCACTTCTATTGGTCAATTTCCCACTCGAAGCCGCGTGGCTGCATTTTGACCCGCGGCTTTGCCCGATTTTCCCCGTGATTTCGTGATCCTCAAAAAACAGGATCACGAAACCGCGGGGAAAATCGGGTGAAGCCGCGGGTCAAAATGCGGCATGATTGCGGTGCCGCTCTTGTGTGAAATCGGTCCTTGTCTCCTTGTAAAGTTTTTGTATGAAGAAAACTGTGTAGAAAGATGATTTCTGAATAATAACTTACGTTTTGTGCAGCACTTGGATCGGGTTCCTTTACAGTGAGCTATTACAGGTGCTGGTCTAGTTGTGGTTGGCTTCCCCAAAAGGGCAAATAGCACACCACCAGGGCCATTTCAGGTTGGGAAAATGTGACATGGGGGGAAAGCTGAATCTCCACCTCCCTGTAACACCCCGTGGCAGTGACCCAAATCAGGGATACACATGCCGGACTGGATCAACAAGTTGTTCAGATATGCTGGAAGCCAGCATACGGGCTTCCTCAGCAGTCTTTGCAGACATTTGGCACAATCCAACCGTCTAGTCCAAACAGCCAAATCATGAGACACATTTGTGACGACCAAAGCAGGAGGCGCGTGCAGGCGTTCCTTTGGGCGAGTTGGTCCCGCCGCTGAATTCCCAAAGTGGGCAGGAGCTTTGCGGGCAAACAGCTCATCTGCCAGAGTGAATTTGCTCTCTCTAAACACCCAGCCTAATGAAGAGACTCTTACAAATCAGCTGATGTGTAAGGACACATCCCATATGGTTGCTGCAGAGATGAATGACACACGGAATGTAAAATCCAGGCAACAGACTGAGAGACTGTTCAATGGACTGTGCCATTCAGAGTGCATTTCTGAAGTCTTCTCTGCACTAAACTCTCTGTGTGCAGAAATCTATGGCATACAGAAGACAGGTACTGCTCAGCCCCAGTTTGGTGTAGTGGTTAGGAGCGTGGACTCTAATCTGGGAGAACCGGATTTGATTCCCCACTCCTCCTCATACAGCTGCTGCTCTGACCTTGGGTCAGTCCCAAGTGCTCTCAGAGCTGTTCTCTCAAGGGCAGTCCTCGGTCTCTCAGCCCCACCTACCTCACAAGCAATCTTCCCTCTAAGCTGTGGAGTCTTGTGAGCAAAAATTCTACCTTGTGAGTTACTGGCATTAAAGTTGTGAGCGAGTGATTTGGCTACTGCTTAAATTGGTTTGCTCTGGAGCTGTCCTTCCTGAGCTAAGACAAAAATGTGTGAGCCGGAGGCTAAAAAACTGTGAGCTAGTTCACACTAACTTAGAGGGAACACTGCTCACAAGGTGTCTGTTGTGGGGAGGGGAAGGTAAAGGAATTGTAAGCTGCTCTGAGACTCCTTCGGGTAGTGAAGGGCGGGGTAAAAATCCAATCTCTTCTTCTCTTCTTCTAGTTTTAAACTTACAGAGAAGGATTGGTTCAAAAGTATCATTAAAGACCTAGCTATATATTACGCACAATCAATTGTAAGAAACCCCTTAAGAAATAAAAGAAAAGCGGCTTCAGGATAGCGCAGGGCATATATGTGTGAAATGATCCCCTTCCCCGCTTGTTTTTCTTTTAAGAAAAGGCTACTCACACTTTGTTACATACATGTATTTGTACACGATACATATTTAGTTTCTTTGCAAAAATATTGAAAATTGAACTTGCTTCTACTGCTTCAGTTTTCACTCGCTCTGCCCTCTGCATCAATCGAGCCACAGTTTGCACACTGAAGTGGACTATATAATATAAATTATTACTACATTCCAAAATCCTGACTCTTTCTCTTTGTTTTAATATATTAGTTACCTAATTGGCAGATTTGAGATTTTCTTCTCTCCCCTCTTCCCCCTCCCCCTTTAAAATGAGCTGCTACAGCCAAATTTGTTCTCGCTGGGACCAGACCTGCTGGTTCCCAAATTCAGTCAGTTAATTGCCTGAGCAGCACCCAAGGAGAATGGATTATTGCCCGTGCACGTTTACCCGCCGCCCCCCATTTAAGCAAGAGGCAGAAATATTTATTTCTGAAGCTTGCCAACTGGTGATGCACCATCTGTCTCTGTTCCTGTGTGATTGCCGATTTGTTCGTTCCCCAGTACTTAAGCCCGTAAATGTTTTCTGATTAACTGCCTTCACCCTTTGCATTAAAAAAGGAAGAAATATTTATTTCTGATGCTAAACAAAAGGCTTCTAAAGACACTGGCTAGTATCCAAAGGGAGAATTCAGGCAATGCCAAAGACCTGGGCATGCCAACAGGGATTTTTTATTCCCCCCCCCCTTTCCTTGGATCAGACTCCTAAAGTCCACAATGTTGTGAAACACAGACGCCCAAAGCCACCTCCTGCACACAGAGCCAGGAGTACGGATCTTTGGATCCCAGGTGCAGAAATCTGGCTCATAACCTTTAAGGGTTAATACAATTTAACAAATTGATTCCTTTGGCCTCTGACAGATTCAGTCATCAGTTCAGTATAATATATAATCAATACATCTAATTCTCAACATGTTCCCATCTGCGGATACTTAAATCTGGCGATTGGGGCCATGTGCAGACATTATCTTTCTACAAACCTGAAAAAGCCCCAGGTTTGCAGAAATGTCTGTCTGTCTGTCTGTCCGTCCAGTAGCTAGACAATTGTCATGGGGGCACATAGGAGGGTAGCTGACATCACTTCCTATGTCACTTCGCCTGGCCCTAGAGAACCCCAATGACGAGCTTGTCCTTTTGGCCAAATGCCACCTTCCACCTGCCTCAAAAGGCTTCGTTGTGGAGCAGCTGGGGATGGGGAGGTAGGATGGCCAGAAGTGACCTGGCAATCCCATGGACCGCCCCCCCCTTCTCCAAGCTCAGGGGAGGGGCCGGAAAAGGATCCAGAGACAATTCAAAGACCCGTGATTCCTCCCCTCCCCAAGGCTGCCTGCCTGCCTAGGAATCAGGGCTCTATCAACTTAACCCTTTGAGCAGCTGGTGCAACAGCGACTTCAACTGATTCTGAATAGGCTCCTCAGTGTGTGTGTGAGAGAGAGAGAGTGAAAAAAAGGAGATTTAGGCAGGGAAGGAATAATGCAGATAAAACAGCAGGCTGTGACATTTTTTAAAAAAATGATCCCTTGGAAAAGAGTAAAGAAATCAATCAGTCCAAGTCAGAAGCTCCTATCCTTGGGTCCTCTAACGATTGAGTAAAACACACACACACACACACCTTGCATTGCCAAAAAGGAAGGGGAGGGGATCCTTTGAGTGGATGCATCTTCCTGACCTGGTTTTCTTTTGTTTTTTGTGTGTGCAAAACTGCAAACTGGGAGTTTTTTTTTTTGGGGGGGGGGGGTTGAACCACTAAGAGTCTACGCCTGTGTTTAATGAGCAACAGAATCTGTTTCTTGATGTTTGGCTGTTGGACGGGAGGAGGACTTGGAGCTGGGCTGGGAGGCCGGGCCTTCCTTAAGGGCGCCCTGCAACCTCTGCTTGGGAAAACTATACCCCATTTGTGTGATACTGGCTGCCAGCCTGGGACAGTTGCAGACTGGGGAACCCACAAGGACTCGCGGGGGGGGGGGCACTTCATTTTCCCTTGTATCCCCTTTCCCCACATGGTTCCCTCTTTCCGTCCTCCAGGCAACCCCCTGATCCTCACCTTTCTCTGCTTCCTCCTCTCCTTCCAACCCACTCACCAACCTACCTTTTACCTGCCACCCATCTCAAGCTATATCTGTTTACTGCATTTATATTGCACCTTCCTGCACAACAGGGCCCCAAAGCAGCTTACCTAATGGTTCCCGCCCTGCTTTTTCCTTTTTGCTATCTGAACCAGCCTAGCTAGGAGACTTTAGCATATGCGTGCAAGAAATGGCCAGATGCCACTGAACACAGCCTGAGCTCTTGAAAGAGAAAGATCTTTGTTCGTTGTAACACAGCTTTACACTCTAGAGAACAAGTCCATGGGGGGGGGGAACTATATCACAGGACTACTGCAGAGCTAAGAAGAAATCAAAACACCTGAGGCTACTCTAAGCTTTAGAGACCCAGATGTTACCTTGGCATTCTCTCCTTGGGATGGACACAAAGCCTGCTGGGACTTATAAAATAGAGGGAGTCGTCATTCTGTTCCCTCCCTGGTCCCTGATCTGGCTTGAGCACTGCAAAAAGGGTGTTCGGATCTTTTAACTCTTCCTGCCCAAGCTGGGTGGGTTTCCCATCACCCGATCCCGAGCTTGGGGAGTGATGCCTCTTAATGGGAAACTCAGCACTCTTTTCTCCCATCAACTTGGGAGCACAAGTCTCCCTCCCCGTGCAGGCCATCCAAACAGTCATCCATCTTGTCCCCTCCTGGCAGTCGGGCAAATGGATCCAGGGCTCTTTTTGTAGAAAAAGCCCAGCAAGAATTCATTAGCATAATAGGCCAGACCCAACAGCAGAAACTCATTAGGATTGGCTACATTAGGGGTG